TTCTTTGTGTCTGCCCGAGCCTACACCACAGAACTTGGCCCCAAAGAAGCCATCAAGCAACACCTGGAAAAAAGGAAAAGAAAAAATTATTTCCAGTTTAAATTTCAAGTTTTTCATTAAGAAGATAACATTTGGCTGTGGGTTTATTTATTTATTAATTAAAATGTTTTTATTAACATTAACTAGTATTAGATGCATATAAACAGTTTGGTCACTGGGCAAACGAGGCATTTGGCTATGGGTTTAAATGTTCAACAATTTACATTTCTATGGTTTATATTTCAAAGGAGATGTCAAATTTTGTGAACAATCATATAATAATCAATAAATGCCAAACACTATGCTAAGCACTTTATACAGATTATCAGTACTCAGAGACTATTAGAACTCAGTACTATCATTAGTACTATTAGTACTTAGTACTATTACTAGTACTCAGAGACAATGTTAAATATAGGATGTATTGTTGCTGCCATTCTATAGACAAGGCTATAGTGTTTTTTTTTTTTTGAAGATTTTATTTATTTATTTGACAGACAGAGATCACAAGTAGTAGGCAGAGAGGCAGACAGAGAGAGAGGAGGAAGCAGGCTCCCTGTGGAGCAGAGAGTCCTATGTGGGGCTTGATCCCAGGACCCTGGGATCATGACCTGAGCCGAAGGCAGAGGCTTTTAACACCCTGAGCCACCCAGGCGCCCCAGGCTATAGTGTTTAATTGCACAGTGATGGAGTCTGAATTCCAATCAGTCTGATGTCCAAATCTGCGTTCTTCACCCCACATGTACTCTAGGTTTTGTTAGGGCTATACAAAGAAGCCTGTGTGTTCAGAGACTATGAGAATCGGGCGAGGTATCAAATGTAGATTCTATGTTCACAGGCATCTTTTAATTTCTACTTGTGTGGTTGCCTTTAAGGATAACTATATCTGTGAGAGATAACACATTTAGAACTGCTAAGAATTTGGTTACTTACAGGTGCTCTCACTTTTGCAATCTAGAGAAGGAAAATGAAATGAGCAAGAGAAGAAAATGGTTCAGTAAGCAAGAATGGAGTTAATGAAAATGTACAATATTGGAGGCCAAATTACTGATCCAAACAGTACAAGGATACTTAGATATGCCCTGTCTTCAGCAGCTGACATGGAGTGGGATCTGGTGCCTGATGACAATGAAGGAGACAGATGTCCTCAATATATTCCTGATGGAGGTTTAAATTGTTACAACCTGTTGGACAAGAAGTACACAATATAGCAATGCCTGGGGGCTCATTTGGTTAAGCATCTGCCTTCGGCTCTGGTCATAATTCTGGGGTCCTGGGATCAAGCCTCATGTCAGGCTCCTTGCTCATCCGGGAGTCTACTTCTCCCTCTGCCTGCTTCTCTCCCTGCTTGTACTCTCCCTCTCTCTCTGAGAAATAAATAAATACAATCTTTAAAAATAAATAAGTAAATACCTTACAATTTAAAAAGTATGCAATATATACTAAAATAAGAAATATCTTTGATCCAGTGGTCCCAGCACTGGAAATCTCCCTTTGGAAATAAAAGCATTCTATGATAAATATACACGTGTAAGGATGTTTATTTCAGTGCTATTGTTGAGAGAAAAGCTTAGATCAATTTACATGTTCATCAATAAGGGGACAAATGGTTCTGTAGTAGGGTTATCTATTCTATGGATTTAGCTGTTCAAAGACTGAATTAGATCTTTACCAATTGACCTGGCCAGATATTGTTAATATACTGTAAAGTGAATCAAGCAATGGTCTGGTAATGTGTTAGAATTCATGTTAAAAAAAAAAAAACAACAACCCCAAAAGCCAACTAGCTCTGTTTTTTGTAAGTATGGATAAGGTTAGAGAGTGATACACAACTCAGGCAATTAAACTGGTTACCCTAAGTGGAGTAGAAATTGGGAGGTGTAGGAAGAAACTTTTGGACCATCTGCTTTTTTTTGGATTATGTCATCTGCTACAATGGCACAGATTGCTTTTACAGTATAAAAGATTAATTGAGAAAACACATATTCTTCAAATGATTCTTTGTAAACAAAGATGATTAATTTTACAGTTTTAACTGCTTTAAATGGTTATAAAAAGAAAAATCCCCAGGATAAGTCTTTTTTTTTTTTTCCTAACTCTTCTTCCAGCCTTGATTTTATCTGGTGAAGCTCCCATCTGCCTTCTGTTGGAATCTATATTTCTCACCGAAGTCTTACAAATGTGCTACACACAGTAAGCGCCACCTACAAATCCCCCTTTATGTGACGTTGCATCCCTGTGATACCTCCTGGCCTCGTCCATTTTTTAGTGAGTTATCAGTCTCCGTTGTGTCTCTCTGTTTTAGACAGATCTCTTGGTGTGCAGTGACTCTGCTTCATTCCTGTTTGACCCCCAGCATCCCTGTTACTCGGGCAGGAGAATGGTTTGCAGTCCTTGCCTTCTAGAACAGCTCAGCAGATTTGTGCCCTATCGACTTCCTTCCTGAGCCACTCTTGGCTTCCCTGATGCCTCACTCTGCAGTACTCTGACATCATAAGCTGCAAGAACACAATGAAGGGAATGAGGTGTTTTTAACATTGGGAGGAGGGGTGGACGAGCAGGCTCTAGACTAGGCTCCCCAGGAATGACTCCAGGGCAGGACTGAACTGGCCTATCTGGGCAGCTGCCACCTTGGAGGCTGCACCTCTTGCCTCTGACCCAGGAGTCAGGAAGCTGGACCCAAGAAAGGGCAAGTGCTTTCGTTGACCTCCAACAACTGACTGTCTTGATATCCAGGAACCTAGTAAATGGATGCTGGAATGCTGGTGCTGAAAACTTCAAGTCTTGGGGGTTTTGCCTCAACATAAAAACAGCCAGAAGGTGCAGAAAGCTGATCTCTGTTTCGCATCTAACTTTTAAGTCTCGTCTGAGTGTATCTCACTACTCAAACATACTCAAGAACAGAATCCTAGCTGCAAAGGAGAGAGTTCCTGTTTGTCTCTCCTGCTTGAATGTAGCCCTGTGGGAGCAGAGACCATGCCTATTGGCTCCCCAATAAACCACCTGCAGCTTCCGCAGTACCAGGCACACAGCAATAATCTAACGTTCAACACGTGCAAGGAAACAGTGCTGGTTCCAGGCACTACCCCAAGCTCTTCACGTGCATTAACTCATTGAATTCTCCCAACAAACCTCAGATGTAGGTATTATTACTCTCCCCAGTTTACAGATGTAGAACAGGCACAGAGAGGTGAAGTAAGTTTGCTAAGACCGTACAGTGGTAAAGAGGACTTGAACCCAGCGTTCAGACTCTTTATTGCTCTTTATTGCCTCAATGTTTATTTCAAGTATGTCCATTTCAACGTTGACTGAGTTGTATTACACAGTGGATTGATCCCATACAAATTCATAACTACAGAGTACTTTTATAGAGGAAAGCTTAACATGTTTAACTATGGAGATGGTTATACTTTGTTACCATTTGTACTGGTAACTTTTTTTTTTAATCCTTGCCAAACCTGTGAGATAATCTGTCCAAAGGTGAATAGCATTAGTGATTCAGTGGGTTGACATAATATTCAAGGACTTCATACTTCTTAGACTCATAAAAACTTCTTAGTAACCACAAAAATATGCTTGAGTATATATATATATACATATATATATATATACATATATACATATATATGTATATATATATATATACATATATATATATACACATATATATACATATATATATATATATATATACATATATACACACACACATATTGAGTATGACTATGTATGTATATATGTACTCTGTATATTTGTTAATACAACATAGGAAGAAGAATGAATATTTGGCTCCATGTTTCTCCATTCCTAACTTAAATGTTAAATGATACATAAGTCAATTACATTTTGGATTGTCTTAATCACTTCTAGTTATCATTTCATTGTGGCTTTGGGAATAACAAAAATGCATGGGATGGAAAACTGGGCAACTTTCCCCCAAAGTCTAGCTCTGTTCCTGCCATGAGATGCTCTCATCTGTCTTTTCTTTCCCATATTTAACAACAAAAATAAAACTTGCTGTTATTTGGTAGTTCTGAGAAGAGTGTGATGATGTTTGTAAAGATCTCTGAACTGCTAGAAGAAAGGTATTAATAAATACCAAAGCATAAAATAGCATACTATTTAATGAGGAATAGATGATTCAGGAGGACTCTGAGTCATTATTAAGGCGATGTTCTAAAATAGTAATGGAGGAATTATTCCAAAGATGTTTCATGGGTTCTTAGATTACCAGATATTTAAATTCTCCTATAGTTCTAAGGCAATATGATATCTGAAGCAATATTGAAAAGACAAAAAGTACATTTCAAAGGTAATGACTTAAGATGGGCAGAAGTTTCTTCATCGTATAGACTGGAAAACTGGAGTACATCCAGTTCAGACTTCCCACTGAATTCATAGTGAATGGGTAGCCATTGTCCTGTTTGGGAGTGAGGGGGAACTTCCCCAGCATGCTCTACTTGCTAATTGCTGTCCCCTCACTGGGGATTCCCAAATGCTTTCCGGTAAGAGAAATGTCCATCTAGCTGTGGAGGAGCCAGTTCAGCCAAGGCTAATTAATTTGCCCATGGATAACAGTTCTTAGGCAAGTAAAAAAGAAAAAAGAAATTGCAGTTTGTGACAGCTTTAGGGCTGTCAGTTCACAGCTAAGGATGTGTGAGACACTATCCCGTGGAGTGATTGTCAATCTTAACATTTTTTTTTTTTCAAAACCTTAAGCCGTCTCTTGACAAACATACGGTTTTTGTATTCTCCTTTGATGGTGATTGAAATTTCAAAATAAATTTTGTGAATAAAAATAAACCAAAGGAAAGACAAATTTAGAAACTACTTTTCCCGACTATTTAACCACTCCTATCCTCCGAGGTTTTTCACGGCTTGAGATACATTCTTCTGGTGTAGTACAATCTTCCAATGACGCTGGGTTAGCTGTTCTGGAGAGCTATCCCCAGGATGGGCCCTGAGACATGTATGGATTGAGCTCGAGAACTTGGGACTTTGTGCCTACACTTAGATTACTGTTCACCTGCTCATTTATTTTCAAGACAAACCGCGCTGTTCCTTCATGGCAGCAGCCTCAGCGTGTCCTTTCTTTTGTGGTGCGTCCTACGGACTAAAATTCGAGTAGTACCGTACAGGTTTATTTACGGCACATTCATTTGTTTCATTTGATGTTCCTGTCCCCGAGTACCCTGGCACTCGGTTAAAGGTTTGTCAGCACCTTTGCTCACTGATCTTCCTCATTCGGTTCTGTTTACTACACGCTATCCATAAATGATACAGATGGGATTCAGGTCCAACACGGGAACGTGACAACTGTTTCGGTTTGGGTCTATCACGAATAAAACCGAAGAACAGATGCCCGCAACTGAACGCGGTAGATTTTGACTTCTATTTCCAGCTCGTCAGATTTCCCCAACGGCGGGTTTGCTTCCTAAACGAGGGGTGTTTCCTCATCTGCTTTTGCATCATTGGATTGAATTCAGGAAGCAGTAGTCGTTGGATTGGAATACGACCGAGAATGTTGCCCTACCAATAGAGGGATGGGTAGATTTAGATGGAGAATAAATTGACAAATCCCGGCCTGTTTTCCACAGGGTGTATTTTATATTTCTAGGCGGGCGACCTCAGGTCAGTTTTCAAAAGTTTTTTTTTTTTTTTTTTTTTTCCTTTTCAGCGCAGAGGAGACGCTCTCTGAAAGCCAAAAAGGAGTGTCAGCGCGCCCCACCCCATTCGCCTCCAACGGACCTCATTAGCCTTCCCGCCCACAAACAGCCACTACTACAATTCCCAGCAAGCATCGCGCAGGGCCCCAAAAGGACCAGGTCCCACTGGCATGCTGGGAGTTGTAGTGAGTGAGCCCGACTACTCTTTCCTTCTGTTAGTCATGCCCACTCGGAAGACGGTAATGCGCTGCTACAGCAGGCTCTCCAGTTTCGTAGTCGGAGCTAAACGTGACCGAGGATTGCGCCCTTCTGCCCTGCGGTGCGTACCGCATCTGTGCCACCGAGCTTCGCTCCGCCCTCTGTGCACGCCCCTTCCCTTGACAGCTCGAGCTCCGAGGGGTCGCGAGGCCCGGAACGCGCAGGCGCAGCAGCCGGCGCCGCGCAGGGTAGCTCTCGAGGGCGGGACGAGCGCAAGAGGCTCATGGCCACGGGGCGCGCACGTAGGCACGCAGAGGCCGTCACGTGGGGTGCCGAGGATCGCAGTGCGCGTGGCCGCGGCGGCTGGTGTGAGGTTGAGTCAGTTGTGAGACCGAGAGCTGCTGACCCAGCGGGCGGCCCAGTGGCCCGGCCACAGAGCGGCAGGCGTCGGGGGTTCGGGAGCCGTGAGCTGGCCCCATCATAGAGCTCGGACGAGCCGGCTCCGCCGTCGTTCCCCGCCCCCAGCCAGCAAACCGCCGCCGCGGGCGCGCCCCCGCTCTGCGCTGTCTCTCCGATGGCGTCCGCCTCCGGGGCCATGGCGAAGCACGAGCAGATCCTGGTCCTCGACCCGCCCACAGACCTCAAATTCAAAGGTGGGCTGGGAGAGGGCTGCTGCCCGGGTGGGGCGGGCGGACGGCGTGATTTAGGTGGGGGGGGTTGAGGGAAGGTCGGCGGCGGGCCGCGAGTGAACGTCCCCTCCCCCACGCCCCGGCACTTTCCATTCTGCCGCGGCTCCCCGCTCCGGCCCTCGGCCTGCCTGCCCCGCGTCCGTCCGGCTCCCTCCCTCGCCCGCTGGCGGCTCGATGCGCGCGCCGGCTGAGGCGAGGCGGAGGGGCCCGGCCCTGGCGCCGCCGCCGCCATCTTGCGGTCCCGCGGGGGCGCCTCCCGGGTGCTGCCCGCGCTGCTGCCCGCGCCTGGCTCTCGTTCTTGGCCGCCGGGGGCCGTCGGGCGTTGTCTGGGAGGGTGTGGGTGGGCGGTGACCTTAGAGCGTGTGCTCGGGTCTGCGACGGGAAGGGGGGGTTCTGGGGGTGGCGCAAGTGCGTCGGTCGCCGGAGCCGGCTGTCAGCGGCGGTGGGAGGCAAGGCAAGGCGAGGCGGCGGTGCGGCGGCCCTGGACTTGGTTGCGAGAGCGAGCCACCCCTCCGCCTCGAGCAGGGGCTGGGTGGAGCCGGCCCCCGGCCCTTGCGGAGGGGGTTGCTGCTTACCTTTTTGCCTTGTTTAGAATTGGGCTGTCAGGTACGAGGAGAGTTAGGGAGGCGGAGAAGCCCGTGAAGTCCTCTGGTTATGACTTACCCGGTTGTGTTGGCAGAGACCCAAGCGCGTGCGGGCAGGAAAGCTATGCGTCAGCCCGGGAATTGATAGTAGTAGGTTAATAGTAGACGTCTTCCTGGTCCTCCGTGTGACATTTCAGCTCACCTTCCGCGCCGGGCGGACCTGGTGTTTGCTCTTGTTTAGCCCTTTACCTTAGCTCTTTGGCTGCGGAATCTTCAGTGTCGGGGACTTTTGCGGTTTCGGAGAAGGTTGATGAGGTGTCACTCAGCTCTGGAGCGCCCTTAATTTATTTTGTAGCAATGCCTCTGATAAATTATAAGTCCGATTTGGTGATCCCTCAGGAATCTTGAAGGGCTCTTTGGCCCATTTTTTTTTCAGTATGTAGGGTACCTTAGGGAAGAGAGTTAAACTGGCTTTTTACGAATACCGAAAGCTTGTGGCGATCCAAAATGGAAAGATTCCTTCCTGTCTTCATTTCAAGTGTAAAGTGATTCGCTTTTTGGAAGGTTCATTATCTTGTATTTCAATTTCAGCAGTTACGATGAGAGCAGTTTTTGTGAAATGTGTAACCATTTCAGTGCTTACAACAAAATAAATCCTTTATCGTTGTAGAAGATTGAGTCCAAAGGAGAAAAAATTGCTTTCCATAGGCAACGTTTTAAATAGTTTTTAGGAATTTTAAAATATCGTTTTCTGGTATTAGAGTAATAGTGTATAGCTAGTTTATTTTGCAAGCTTTTTAGTACGTTTGCAAATTTCTTTGAATGGAAATGGGACCTGCTTTTTCAGTAAGGATTTAGTTTTAAGACAACTCAGATATTTTGAGAGGCACTAAATGTATTTTATTTTAACAAGTTTGTGTGTGTGGCATTTCATATCGTTTTAGCCGAAAGGAAAAAAAAAAAACCTTTGGGGAATCATGAAATTTCCTTAAATAGCCATTATCTTTGGTTGGAGGAATTTAATGTAAACCCTATAATGGGTTGTGTTCTTTTGAGAAGTTAAAAGAACTTTTTACTTTTTGACAGGCTGAGTTTACAGAGGAAATTTCTCTACTGTATATTGCCATTAGGGACTTAGAAGCCTTTAAAACCAGTTTTAGGCCAGGAAATGTCCACGGAATTTGAAGTTTTCACCCTAGAAAAGTTGGAATGTTGCCAGAGTAAGAGACTAATAGTAGTGGAGAAGCGAGCTAAAAAAACTCAGAACCCTACGCAATAACATTCATATGTTTCACTTACTTTAGGTATTGTAGAGTTACTAGTCATGATTATAGAACAGGTTTTTCTTGTGTTATGGATGAAAGTAATTCCCAAGGACCATTTTTAAAAGTTTGGACATCAATAACCACTTTTTAAAATTGACTTCAAAAAATATTTCATTGAAAAATTTATAGAGACATACTCAGTTGGGCCACTTATTTAGTGAACACTTACTGAAAGCTTTATGCCATCCCTGTATTAAGATTATTCAGCTGAGTAATTCGGCCATAATAAGTTTCTATTTGGGGATTCGGTGCTAACAAGGTGGGGGAAAAGATTTACAGTTTGTAGTTTAATGGGGAAAGCACCCAGTAAAACAGTGAAACATTTTAAGTTTTATCTTTGCCCTTGAGGAGCTCTTGAGACTAGTGAGGGAGACCTAAAAGGCTTGTAGGTGCTGTAACGGAGGCAGACTGGTATGAAGAGAGACCCCCCCCCACACCCCCCAGGTTTCTTGAAAGAGGCTAATTTTCATTTAGGGAGTAGGAGAAAAGGGTTGGGCAAGGGAGTGGTAGTTTACTCAACCACTGATGTAAAAGAATGTGTGGCTTATACTTCAGTGGTTTGCGGTGTGCTTCTGTTCTAAGGGGGGGATAATGGGGAGGATTGGGAAACAGAAGGGTAGGATGAATTAGGAGAGGCGACCTTTGGTGTCATTTGATTGCTTCCTTCCTTTATGTTATTTTTCTAGTCAAGGGTAAATAGTTTGCTTTGATGGAAAGCTCTCTGTCTTCCAGTGCACCCTTAACACTAAGTAAGGAGACTCATTTAGAATCCACAAACTCCATATGCTTAGTTTGATGATGATATAAAGTCATTTTATTCTCACTTGCCCTAAACCATCTGTAATTTTTAGTTTAAGTCTGTTAAAGGATAGTTTTCAAAATTCTCTTACCTTTCAGTAGGCTTATTTGAATTCTTTTGAACTCAACATTTGACTAAGATGGTTTCTCTAAGAGGGACTCATTTAATCCTTCTGAGAATAGGTAGTGAATTTTTCTGTTATATGCATAACAGTCATCTTGATAGGAATTATCAGCACTTGGCACAATTATGGAGAAACAGATACAAGTTTAATACATTTTTATAAGTACTTTTATTAAAATTTTTTGTTTTATACAGTTGTCAGCATATGAAGGTTCTTTTATAAGGGTGTAATGAATTCAAAGGTAGCTCTTTTGTTGCTTTGGTAAAGAAAAAGAGGTAGATATTTTCAAATTTTGTTTAAATCATGGCAGTAATTTGACCTAGAGTTCAGATTTGAAATTTGATATTATATCTGAGATGATTTTTTTTGTCCCATTATAATTTATTAAAATTAAATTTTTCCAGTTGTATTATACAATTTATTTGTGTAGTAGTATTGTAGTTTTGGAGAGTAGTTGGAAGAAAGAAATTTAGAAAATGCTAAAATAAATTGCCAAAGTATTCTTCCTCATAATAATCAGAGAAAGGACAGTAGACTAAAACCATTGTGTTGAAGGTGGTCCATAGCAGTATTGAGCCAATAAAGAAAATTAGGCTCTCTTAGGAACCAAGAAACTGTTAGGTGTCCGCCAGAGCATCTTTGAATAGCAGCACATTACTAAGAAGTCCGAGTGAGGATGTAGAGTTCTACTCGTGGACACTTTTAGGTCTTTCAGATCAGCTCCTGTTTCGCAGTGGCTTCATCAGATCCCTGGGGTGATTTCCCCAGCCTTTTCCTGGGCTACAGACATCTTATTACTTCATTCCTTAAAAGCTTTGGAGTAGCTCTTGATTGCCCTCTGGATAAAAGTCCGTTTTGTTTTGTTTTGTTTTGTTTTTTTAGTATGGCACTTAATCCCTTCCGTGATATGCTGTCTCCTCTTGCAACACCTGTTCATCTGCACACATCCATACTTTTCACCCTGAGAAAGAAAAACCCTTCTCATATCCAAGCTTGTTTGTTCTCTTTTTGTTGGTTAAGGTAAAATCCCTCATGACTCATACTTAGACCGTGTTTCCTCGGATATTTTCCCTCTCATGTTTTCAACCACTGGCTTCTTCCTTTAAACATACAAATACACCTAAGTCTTTCATTTTAAAAACAAATAAGCAAACAAAATAACTTCTTTGACTCCCAGATCCTTCTGGTATTTGTCCATTTCTCTCCCTCATTTCCTTTGCAGTCAGACTTCGTGGAAAAATTGTCCCTGTTCACTGTCCAGTTTCTCACCTCTTGTCCACTGTAGTACTGCTTCTGTCCTCACTGCTTGTTGATTGCTGATCGCATTGAGCATTTCCAGTGCTTCTCTCTTTGGCACTTGACATTATTAACAATTTTTCTTTTTAAAAACTTAAGTCTTTTGACTTCTGTGTAATTGTCTTCTAATTTTCTTTGCTGTCTTTTTTGTCTCATTTGTGGGCTTTTTCTTAATTGCTAATGTCTCTGAGATTCTGATTTGGTTTTATCTCTGAACTTTCCTTGTTCAGTCTCATTGTTTTGATGACTTCTCTTCCTTGCTCTCTCTTTGCCCATGTTGGTTCACACCCAAATTTATATTTTAATTGAGACTTTACAGTAGTCAGTTTTAGAATTGCTTATTGACTGTCTGGATTTGAATTTTAACTCAAGACTTTTTGCGGGGGAGGGGCAAAGGGAGAGAGAATCTTAAATAGGTTAGGAGCCCTACATAGAGCTCATCTCACAGCCCTGAGATGAGGAGCTGAGCCAAAATCAAGAGTCGGGCTCTTAACTGATTGAGCCACCCAGGCACTCCTTAACTCAGACATATCAAAGTCAGTATATCCCAAGTGGGTTTTTTTTAATAACCCAAGCCTACTAGTCTTCCCATATTTTTAATATTCTGTGGCATCATGATTGCTTATACCAGAAATACTCTGTATATCTTTTAATTAAAATTTGTATTTCTACATCCCAGAGATAACTCTTGAATCTCTTTTAAAACAACTCTGCTTTTAAATATATTCATTTTAATTCATTAAATTATACAAAAAATATTTGAGTTTTCGCTATGTGTAATAAGTGTTGAATTAGTGTTAGAACTACAGTTTTGAATAAAACAGAATCTTTGTTAT